AACTAAAGCTTACAGTAATATCCCATTGAGTCAGGGGCCTCCTGCTGTGAGAGTAAGGGTGTCTTCCCTCTGCTGAATAGTGACACCTTTAGTGATAAACTATATCAGACCTTACACTCTTTCATGTCAGTTTACCAAACCATGTACATTTAGTATATAATTATAGAGCTTCGTGAAATATCATGCATTTTACCTTGTGGATTCTACAAAATTATATTTGATTATATTAACTTTTGTTTTAATTATATAACCCAATATGGAAAACTCCTCAGTCTCTGGTTGTACATGTTGCCAGTTCTGGCCCTCCACAGTCCTCTCTTTACTTGGACCAACAGTATTTAACACAAACAGTCAAGTTATCGCATTATATACGAGTGACTGGGACTTACTCAAAGAGTTTAAACCTAACAATAATCCTTGTCTTCAGTGTCAGGTTCAGAAAAGTCTCCAAGGTTGTCCTCAGTCTCTGGTTGTACATGTCTCTCTGGATCTGAATTCCTGGCTGGTTGTGGTCCTCCACAGTCCTCTCCATCAGCTTCTGTTTCCATGTGTTCAGCTGAGCTGCTGGCTGGAGGCTCTGCCTCTCTGTTCTCCTCAGTTTGAGTTTGATGAAGCTGTGAGGAATGACGACCAACACACTTATGGCTTTTGACGTTTTGACTCCAGCTGAACTTTTTGTCACAAATACTGCAGCTGAATGGTTTCTCTCCTGTGTGTATCCTCATGTGGCCCTTTAAACTTTCTCTCCGTTTAAAAGATGTATCACAGACTAAGCAACTGAATGGTTTCTCTCCTGTGTGTATCCTCATGTGGCCCTTTAAATTTTCACTCCGTTTAAAAGATCTATCACAGACTGAGCAACTGAATGGTTTCTCTCCTGTGTGTATTCTCATGTGGTCATTTAAACTTCCTCTCACTGCAAAAGATTTCTTACAGACTGAGCAGGTGAATGGTTTCTCTCCTGTATGGCTTCTCATGTGCACATTTAAATACCCTTTTCGTGCAAATGTATTCTCACAGACCGAGCAGCTGAATGGTTTCTCTCCTGTGTGGTTTCTCATGTGCTCCTTTAAATGTGCTCTCTGTGTAAAACCTTTCTTACAGACTGAGCAGCTGAATGGTTTGTCTCCTGCACTACGTCTTGAATCACAGACAGGGTCTTGTTTATTTCTCTGAGAGTTTGAACCTGGTTCTCTCGTCTCCTTCCAATCAGCCCTGTCTTCAGTGTCAGGTTGAGAAGAGTCTCCAGGGTTGTCCTCAGTCTCTGGTTGTAAATGTCTCTCTGGATCTGAGCTCCTGGCTGGTTCTGGTCCTCCACAGTCCTCTCCATCAGCTTCTGTTTCCAGGTGTTCAGGTTGTCTTTGTTGCAGCTGAGAAGACTGAGGTTTCTCTTCATCATCTTCACTCTTCACAGGGTCAGGAGTGAATGTGAACTTGGTGATATCAGCCTCCTCCAGCCCTTGAAGCTGCTCTCCCTCCTGACTGCTCCAGAGTTCCTCCTGTTCCTCTTTAATGTGTGGGGGGGGCTCTGGGTCCTCCTGGTCCAGACTGGAGCTCCACTCCTGCTGCTCAGGGGGAACCTCTTCTTTAACCACCACCAGCCGCTGGACGTCTGCAGGACACAGGAAACACACACAGAGACATTACAGAGAACAGCTGTTGTGTTCATTATGTCACCGCTCAAAGCCCCGTTTTGAACCCCTTATTTTTATATTCCTAATTAATATCATCTGTGGCTAATCATACCTATGGCTAATATCTTTTTACATTCATGCACCAACATGTTATGTTTTGTACCCCTAAAATCACATGTGGATACAACTTGGGACCCGGACTGCCTTTTGTGTTTTTAAGGCAGCTCTAAATAGAGATATGAATGATTTAGAAGAGTAACTAGAGCGGTCAGTCAAATTAAGTGCCGTCATGGCCTTTCCCCCCATTAAACTCAACGAGTTCCAGCCCTCTGTATTTTTTCTGAGGTGTATATAATAAAATAAAAACACTAAAATGAACAGGGCTCTATTAGACCAAGTCGTTTCTTACTTACACTGCAGCGCTACAAGTTGGTTTCACTTGAGTGAATAAACTAGCAACATAGCTAAAGTTAATTACATTCATCAAATGTCTCGACATTAACAATTTAATCAAACATTGTCAACGTAAACGTTTTCAACCTTACACGTCAAGATAACAAAATGATTGCTAATAAATCTGAAGTCAAGGCATCATTTTAGCAGCATAAATGATATTTTAAAGTGGACCTAGCATGCTATATTTGAAAAATATATTGTAGGGCCATACCTATATAAAACATGTCTGTGAAGATTTTTTCAAAATACCAAACAGATCATGCATTTTAGCCGTGCCTCATTTCGCTCTATTTGCTCTTTTCCTGCCCTGTATTTGTAAGGGCTGATTCTGTGACATAGCTCTAATGCAAATGATTTGCAGCTGACCACGCCCCCCTGCAGGAGAAGAGATTAGGCTTGTTTGAGACAAGCGAGACCTGCGCAGACCTGCGCAATTTCGATCAACGTCTTGCTCGTGCGTTGCATGATGGTTAGTCATTTTGTCCGACTTGCTCTGGAGGCTCGCCAACATGAGACGTTGAAATCTCGCGGGACAAAGACGCCCGCAGCCTTGAGAGCGAGGCGCGGCGAGGCGGCGCAGTTCCTCTCCACGGGCTGCGGAAGCGAAATGCTTGATGGGAAACGACTCGCTGGTATCTCGAGCTGAGCGCTCATTGGTGGGTTTTACCACGTGCTGGTGATGAAACTCTCCAATTGGCTCGGCAAAAGTTTGTTGTTGTTTGGTCAGTTTTACGTCGCCACATCCATTCCCATTTTTTATCATTGTTCCACAATGTTTATCATCATGAAATTAATATCTATGTTATACTATACTTGCACTGCTTACCGTTTTCATACTTTATATATATCTTAGCATATTCATACACACTGTTCAGACTGCTCTCAGGCTGCTGTGTATATCTAGTGTATTCACACACACTGTTCATACTGCTCACAGGCTGATATCTAGTGTATTCATACCCCTCACTGTTTATTCATCATTCAATTCATTCTATATTTTATTCTAGATTGTGTACATTACTTTTCACTTTACTGCTTGTTGGACCTGGTTAGAAGCTAAACTGCATTTCGTTGTCTCAGTACCTGTAATATGTGCAATAACAATAAAGTTGAATCTAATCTTGAGCAGGAACAAATGTATTTACTTAGTACATATCTGACATTAACTATTAAACACATGTGTGCATTCTTTATAAATGCAAACCGAGTCAAGCCGACTCCGGAGGTGGCGGTATGCACCTTAAAGTGGTTTGCAATCCGCCAAAAAACCGAGAGAAGAAGAAGAAGAAGAAGAAGACGAAGCCGACTCCGAGCTGTCCGACTTCAGGCGAGCTTTTTGAGACCTCCCCCGGCTGCGATCGGCTACTCTCGTCTACTTTCGAGGCGAGCCGCAACGCGTCTCAAACAAGCCTAGTGTGCTCTGAGATCAGCTGCTGGGCTCTCAGAAGAGGGGGAGGAAAAGAGAGGCTCCGCCCCCCGTGTTTTATTCTTATATGATTATTTAGAGTCATTATTCATTTGTTTTAAAGCTCAATAAATAACAAAGAAGACCTTTGACCGGCACTTTTCTAATTTTGTCCGGAAGATTTCAACTTTAACGGACATGTTGACCGGCAAAAAAAAAATCTAACTGAAACTCTGCCGCACGGTCCCCTCGTCCATTGGAAGAGGCGGACAGGTGGGTGTTTGTCATTTGCTGGTGGCAAACCGGAGAGAATTACAGCGCTTGCCTCGACGGGGAGGGATTGCATTGAATTACAGCAGCAGGAGCAAACGCTTGCCTCGGGGAGGGAGAAAAAGAGCCACAGCGGAGAATAAACAGAAGGGCAACCATGAGCGGGAAGTCTTCTTCACTGCTTTTGTGGCAGACTACAGCGCCACTTACAGGCCTATGTACTACAGCGTCTCCAGTGCTTTCGAGCGGCAATGGCCGTGGCCCAACCCCACATTCCCCTGATAGGTGGAGAGTTGCCCATATAGGCGGAGCACCCCTTTAATGACGTCAGAAAAATTCAAATCTGTATCAGTGTGTATCAGCTCCGTTGCAGCCCCATTTTTAGAGATTTGGGTAAGGAGGAAAAGAGAGAGGGTTGTGTTTTCTGACACTTGGTGAGTTCCCTGACACACCGGGGACACATATTCATGTATAAAAGACGTACAAAAGTGCATTTTGCATGATAGGTCCCCTTTGAAGGAATAGAACTGTCCCTCTTCCGTAACTTTAAAGTCATTTGGAGCGGGGGGGGGGAGCGTCTCCTCTCCTCTGTGATGAGCTGCTGCTGAAGGGGGGACTCACATGCTGCAGGACTTCCGCCCCGTGTAGCGGGTGTCTGCAGGATCAGAAAATGAAATCCAACATTCAATGTTCTGGGGAGGACGTTGTTTACCCTGTCTGCACTGTGCAGCTCCTTCAGCGACAGGCTGCTGCACCCCCGCTGTCTCACGGAGAGATACCGCAGGTCCTTCCTTCCTGCAGCGATCAGACTATGTGCAAACTGTGCAATATATACCTGGCTGCTAAATCCTCAGAACTATTACAGGACGTGTATTTTGTAAGTTGTGTAACTTTTTTTTATTTGTTACTTTAATACTTTTGTATGCATGCTTCTATGTAACATTAAGCTGCCTTTGGCTCTTTTCTGTTGTAACAACGTACATTTCCCCTCTGAAAAGTATCCTGATTGATTTGACCAGGGGGCACAACAACACGTTGTCCATGATAGGCTAAGGGGCGGGACATCTCAAATCGGTCAACCAATCACAACAGAGCCAGCCAGCTAACCATTCAGAGCAGACTGGGCTCTGGTTTCAGACAGAGGGTGAAAAGAGGCAGTATGACAAAAATAAAGGTATTTTTCAACATTAAAGCATGGAGACATGTCCCAGTGAAGACAAAATGCTAATACCAACCTGAAAATGAACAGAATATGTCATCCTTGTCATTGTCCTCAGTCTCTGGTTGTAAATGTCTCTCTGGATCTGAGTTCCTGGCTGGTTCTGGTCCTCCACAGTCCTCTCCATCAGCTTCTGTTTCCAGGTGTTTAGTTTGTCTTTGATGAAGCTGAGAGGACTGAGGTTTCTCTTCATCATCTTCACTCTTCACAGGGACAGGAGTGAATGTGAACTTGGTGATATCAGCCTCCTCCAGCCCTTGAAGCTGCTCTCCCTCCTGACTGCTCCAGAGTTCCGCCTGTTCCTCTTTAATGTGTGGGGGGGGCTCTGGGTCCTCCTGGTCCAGACTGGAGCTCCACTCCTGCTGCTCAGGGGAAACCTCTTCTTTAACCACCAGCTGCTGGACGTCTGCAGGAAACAGGAAACACATATTCAGAGAAACTGTAGAGTATTAGAATTTAAAATCTAACCACTTCTTTAACTTTGCAGCCCCTATCCATTCCTTATTTTAAATGCTTGCCTATGGTTTTGCTAAGTTCCGCCCAATTTGTTTATATAGAAGTGCTGGCCTTCTGAAAAGTATGTTAATGTTCCTGCTGTCAGTACTTGGTTGGACCTCCTTTAGCATGAATAGCTGCATCAATAAGGCGTGGCATGGAGACTATCAGTCTGTGGCACTGCTGAGGTGTGATGGAAGCCCAGGTTGCTTCACTAGCGGCCTTCAGCTTGTCTGCATTGTTGGGTCTCGTGTGCCTCATCTTCCTCTTGACAATACATAGAATCTCTACAATAATAATTCTCCAAATTCTGACTTTAATGATAATCTCAACATCCTGACTTTGTTTCTCAGAATTCTGACTTTTTTTTATGGAAAACTCAGAATAATGACCTTTTTCTAAAATGCAAAAATTTTTCAGAAAATCTCTAAATTCTGGCATTTGCAGAAAACCTCAGTTTTGACTTTTTCTTAAGATCAAAACTGACTTTTTTCTCCATATCTCATAATACATTTTGCTCCAAATAATTTTTCACAAAATGCTGACTTTTTCTAAAAGCTGGATTTTGAGGAAATGTGTCTGAATTTTTAGAAAATAATGTCAGAATGTATTGATTTTAAGAAAGACTCAAAATTCTGAGGTTTTCTGCAAAGGCCAGAATTGAGAGATTTTAGAGAAAAAAAAAATTGCATTTTAGAAAAAGCTCAGCATTTGGAGTAAAAAGTATTTCTTACAGACTGAGCAGCTGAATGGTTTCTCTCCTGCACTACGTCTTGAATCACTGACAGTTTCTTGTTTATTTCTCTGAGAGTTTAAACCTGGTTCTCTGGTCTTCTTCCAATCAGCCCTGTCTTCAGTCCCAGGTTCAGAAGAGTCTCCAGGGTTGTCCTCAGTCACTGGTTGCAATTGTCTCTCTGGATCTGAGTTCCTGGCTGGTTCTGGTCCTCCACAGTCCTCTCCATCAGCTTCTATTTCCAGGTGCTCAGCTGAGCTGCTGGCTTGAGGCTCTGCCTCTCTGTTCTCCTCAGTTTGATGAAGCTGTGAGGACTGATGACCAATACACTTATGTCTTTTGACCTGTTGACTCAAGGTGAACTTTTTGTCACAAATACTGCAGCTGAATGGTTTCTCTCCTGTGTGTATCCTCATGTGGCCCTTTAAACTGTCCCTCCGCTTAAAAACTGTATCACAGAATAAGCAGCTAAATGGTTTCTCTCCTGTGTGTATCCTCAAGTGGGCGTTTAAACTTTCTCTCCGTTTAAAAGAGGTATCACAGACCAAGCAACTGAATGGTTTCTCTCCTGTGTGTATTCTCATGTGGGCCTTTAAACTTCCTCTCACTGCAAAAGATTTCTTACAGACTGAGCAGCTGAATGGTTTCTCTCCTGTATGGCTTCTCATGTGCACATTTAAATATCCTTTCCGTGCAAATGTATTCTCACAGACTGAGCAGCTGAATGGTTTCTCTCCTGTGTGGTTTCTCATGTGCTCCTTTAAATGTGCTCTCTGTGTAAAAGCTTTCTTACAGACTGAGCAGATTAATGGTTTCTCTCCTGCACTACGTCTTGAATCACTGACAGTTTCTTGTTTATTTCTCAAAGAGTGTGAACCTGGTTCTCTGGTCTTCTTCCAATCAGCCCTGTCTTCAGTGTCAGGTTCAGAAGAGTCTCCAGGGTTGTCCTCCGTCTCAGGTTGTAAATGTCTCTCTGGATCTGAGTTCCTGGCTGGTTCTGTTCCTCCACAGTCCTCTCCATCAGCTTCTGTTTCCAGGTGTTCAGCTGAGCTGCTGGCAGGAGGCTCTGCCTCTCTGTTCTCCTCAGTTTGATGAATCTGTGATGACTGACGGCCAACACACTTATGTGTTTTGACCTCATAACGCCAGGTGAACTTTCTGTCACAAATACTGCAGCTGAATGGTTTCTCTCCTGTGTGTATCCTCATGTGGCCCTTTAAACTTTCTCTCCGTTTAAAAGATGTTTCACAGACTAAGCAATTGAATGGTTTCTCTCCTGTGTGTATTCTCATGTGGGACTTTAAACGTCCTCTCACTGCAAAAGATTTCTTACATACTGAGCAACTGAATGGTTTCTCTCCTGTATGGCTTCTCATGTGCACAGTTAAATATCTTTTCCGTGCAAATGTATTTTCACAGACGGCGCAGCTGAATGGTTTCTCTCCTGTGTGGTTTCTCAAGTGCTCCTTTAAATTTGCTCTCTTTGTAAAAGCTTTCTTACAGACTGAGCAGACGAATGGTTTCTCTCCTGCACTACGTCTTGAATCACTGACAGGGTCTTGTTTATTTCTCTGAGAGTTTGAACCTGGTTCTCTGGTCTTCTTCCAATCAGCACTGTCTTCAGTGTCAGGTTCAGAAGTGTCTCCAGAGTTGTCCTCAGTCTCTGGTTGTAAATGTCTCTCTGGATCTGAGCTCCTGGCTGGTTCTGGTCCTCCACAGTCCTCTCCATCAGCTTCTGTTTCCAGGTGTTCAGTTTGTCTTTGATGAAGCTGAGAGGACTGAGGTTTCTCTTCATCATCTTCACTCTTCACAGGGACAGGAGTGAATGTGGGCTTGGTAACATCAACCTCCTCCAGCGCTTGAAGCTGCTCTCCCTCCTGACTGCTCCAGAGTTCCTCCTGTTCCTCTTTAATGTGTGGGGGGGGCTCTGGGTCCTCCTGGTCCAGACTGGAACTCCACTCCTGCTGCTGAGGGGAAACCTCTTCTTTAACCACCACCAGCTGCTGGATGTCTGCAGGAAACAGAAAACACATATTCATCAGAATCGGTTATATTTACCAAATAGGTTTACACATACGAGGAATTTGCTTTAGTATATTTGGAGCATAAAAAGACACAGAAAGAAGCATCTTAGCAAAACAAAATAAATTACAAATAGGATTATGACAGCTATTTAAAACAAAACTATTTTAAAACTATTAAAACCAATTAACAATATTTACATTACATTACATTACATTACATTGCATTTAGCTGACGCTTTTGTCCAAAGCGACTTACAATAATTTAAATGTGACAAATACTATACACTTTATTTAAAGTGGAGAACTGCTGATTTAAAAGAGAAATTGTGCAGAAGAGATGTTCAGCATGTGCAGGATTTACCATGTTAAAAAGAACACAGTGTTGTTGCCATGGTGTGCATTAATGTAATGTTATTATGGGGTGGATAAAAGTAACTGGAAGAGGAAAGACATATTCCTTCACCCACACACCCAGACCCACTAGCAGAGGAGGTGGCACTGGTCTCCTGCTCTCTCCCATCTGGAGCTTTTCCCTCTTCAAGCTACCTAACTTCACTCCGTCCACCTTTGAATTCCATGCCGTCACAGTAACCCATCCTATACAATTAACCATTGTTGTTCTCTACCGTCCACCAGGCGCCTTGGGGGACTTCTTGGAGGAGTTAGATAATCTCCTCTCACACATCCCAGAAACTGGCCCTCCCGCTGTACTTCTCGGAGACTTCAACCTCCAGACGGCGAAGATATCTGAACTAACATCTCTTTTAACCACCTTTGCTTTCTCACTGTCTCCGTCCCCACCAACTCATAAAGCTGGCAATGTCCTTGATCTCATATTCTCAAGGAACTGCACTACTTCTAACCTCTCTGTAAACCCGCTCCACACATCCGACCACTTCTTCATTTCATTCTCTCTACCCCTTTCCAAACAGATCAAACTAATCTCTTCTAACTCTGCACCTGTCCGCTGCAACCTTCGTTCCCTCTCCCCCATCGGTGCTCTCAGCCCTCCCTTCCTCTGACTCGTTCCAACTTCTGCCTCCAAACACTGCTGCAGAAACTCTCCTCTCTATGCTTTCATCCTCTCTGGACTCTCTCGGTCCTCTCACATCTCGGCAGGCTCTTCAGTCCCCTCCTGCTCCCTGGCTAAATGATGCACTGCGTGCTAATAGAACCGTCCTTCGGGCAGCAGAGCGGAAACGGTGGAAATCCAAACACCATGATGACCTCCTAACCTAAAAGGCTCTCCTCTCCTCTTTCTCTGCTTCGATCTCTCGGGCAAAGATCATTTTTCTTTCAAGATAAAATCCAATCTTCCTATTCCAATCCCAAAAAACTATTTTCCATCTTCTCCTCCCTCCTGGACCCCACCAAAGCCCCTTCCCCCTCCTCACTTCTGTCAAGCGACTTTGTTAACCACTTTGAAAAAAAGGTTGATGATATTCGCTCTTCTTTTTCTGACTCACCTTTACTCACCGCTGGGTCACCAGACCCTCCTTCCACCAACACACTAACCTCCTTTTCCCCTCTCTCTCCAAGTGAGGTTCTTACCCTCATTACCTCTGCCCGCCCTACCACCTGTCCTCTGGACCCTATCCCTTCAAACCTCCTTCAGACTATCGCTCCTGATATTCTACCGTTTCTCACCCATTTCATCAACACTTCTCTAACTTCTGGTCACTTTCCAAACAGTCTCAAGGAGGCAAGAGTAAACCCTCTCCTAAAGAAACCCACTCTCAACCCGTCTGATGTTATAAACTACAGGCCTGTCTCTCTCCTCCCGTTCCTGTCTAAATCACTTGAACGCGCTGTCTTTAAACAACTCTCCTGTTATCTCCATCAGAACAACCTGCTGGATCCGCACCAGTCTGGTTTCAAGGCAGGTCACTCAACAGAAACTGCTCTCCTTGCTGTCACTGAGGAACTGCACACTGCTAAAGCAGCCTCCCTCTCCTCTGTCATCATCCTTCTGGACCTGTCTGCTGCATTCGACACGGTGAATCATCAGATCCTCCTTCGCACTCTCCAAGAACTTGGAGTTTCAGGCTCTGCACTTTCCCTCCTCACCTCATACCTCAAAGACCACACCTACAGGGTTACTTGGAGAGGGTCGGAGTCCGACCCTTGTCAATTAACTACAGGGGTCCCTCAGGGCTCTGTTCTCGGTCCCCTCCTCTTCTCCCTGTACACAAACTCGCTAATTAGCCCGCATGGTTTTTCATACCACTGCTACGCTGACGACACCCAACTAATTCTGTCCTTTCCCCGCTCAGAGACCCAGGTCGTCGCACGCATCTCTGCTTGTCTAGCTGACATATCTCAGTGGATGTCTGCTCACCACCTCAAGCTCAACCTTGACAAGACTGAACTGCTTTTCCTTCCGGGAAAAGATTGTCCCACTCTTGACCTAACAATCAACATCGGCAACTCTGTTGTTTCCCCGACTCAGACTGCAAGGAATCTGGGTGTGACCCTAGATAACAAACTGTCCTTCACTGCAAACATCGCTGCTACAACCCGCTGCTGCAGATACACGCTTTACAACATCAGGAGGATACGTCCCCAGCTGACCCAGAAAGCCACGCAGGTTCTGGTCCAGGCTCTCGTCATCTCACGCCTAGACTACTGCAACTCCCTCCTGGCTGGTCTACCTGCATGTGCCATCCGACCTCTGCAGCTCATCCAGAATGCAGCAGCTCGTCTGGTCTTCAACCTTCCTAAATTCTCCAACACCACACCGCTCCTCCACTCCCTCCACTGGCTTCCGGTAACTGCTAGAATCCACTTCAAGACACTGGTACTTGCGTACCATGCTGCGAATGGATCTGGCCCTTCCTACATCCAGGACATGGTTAAAGGGATAGTGGAAATGGAACCTCAAATAGTTTCGTTTTAACTTATATACAAGCATAATTACGTACCAAAACAATCACACCTGATTAAAAAAATATAATAATTGCCTTACGCATGTTAGAAGCACTTTATTGCAGCTTCCCCGAAGTTTTTTAGAAACGAAATGTTCGACTCAGCCAAACCGGAAGTGACGAAAACTTAGGAAGACGATACGATAACAAACCATGGCGTCTATGCAGAATGAACGTGGAAGGGCAAATATACCAGACAAAGAAGAAGGATTGTACGAGGTATCCAGTGATGATAGCGAGTCAGAAACATCCTCTCGGCTTTCCTACGAAAATGTCGTTTTAGGAACTGAATCTGAATCCGGTTCAGTAAGCGACGATGGTGACAATATTGAGCCAGACGATGGACCATTACGTCCTTATTTGTTCGAGCCCGAGCCCGAGGTGATGGTTCACGGCATGGGCAATGGCGAGGATGACCAGGACCAGGCGCCAGATGATGCACCCCTACACACAAATAATCTTGACTGGTAGGTCCCTAAGCATAGCTCACGCATCTTAAGATCACCTATAGCCTTTACAAATATTAATCATTGTTAACCAGTTAATCCCGAAGGTCCCCCCAGTGGACCCCTCCCACAGTTTTTTTTCTCTCACATGTCTCAGGGCTTCTTAACATTTATGAAACTATTAATGTTTCATACCCTTTTAAAAAGGTAAGAAACTCCGCTAACTGACAATAAGAACAATTGTTAGCTAGAAAAAACACAAGCGTAATACCAAGCCTTTGAATTAGCATTGAGCGAAACAATGCTAACTAATGCTAACGCTTTTTTACACACAACACGCGGTAGAAATGCCCTTATTACTATCTTAACTGCACAAACAAGATATACGATTTAAAGCTGAGACTCCACAGATGTAATGTCATCACTGTAAGACCTCGAATTCCTGGAGCTATCAGCCAGAAAAGAGAAAGTAAACAACATCCGGTTCCAAAAATATTACAATAATTACGTCTTACCTTTTTTGATTTGTGATCAAAAGTTGTGTTCAACGGAATAAAAACGCATCTCAAGGTTAATCCAATGTCGTTGTGTCACGTAGAATTTTTTACTGATAATCAATCATCATATTTATGGCAATATACTCGGCTATTCACATGCAAATGCTATTGAATGTCCGCCATTGTTTGTGCCCGTCTTCCTATGCTCTCGTCATCTCCCGACGATTCCCGAAGTATTTCGTTTCATTGAGAGGGCGCAGTAAAATTGAAAATAAAATGAAACTAGGCGCATGAAATTAAAAAAAATTGTTTATTATGCTTATTTTTAATAAAAATACATAAGTTAAACCCAAAATTCGCGGATTTCCACTATCCCTTTAAACCGTACACCCCAACGCGTGCACTCCGCTCTGCATCAGCCAAACGGCTCGCTGCACCCTCACTGCGAGGGGGACCCAAGTTCCCATCAGAAAAAACACGTCGGTTTGCTATCCTGGCTCCAAAATGGTGGAATGAGCTCCCCATTGAAATCAGGACAGCAGATAGCTTACACATCTTCCGGCGCAGACTGAAAACTCATCTCTTTCGACTCCACTTCGAGTGATAGAATTATTAACAAAGAACTTATATACTAATAAAGGGCTGGCTTATCTAAAGCCAGTTGAGTAGCACTTGAAATGTTTTAGCTCTATGAAACCTGATGTACTTATATGATTCTGTTTTCTTCAAGTTTGTATATTGTTGGTCGAACGCACTTATTGTAAGTCGCTTTGGATAAAAGCGTCAGCTAAATGTAATGTAATGTTGATGTAGAAGAGACATGAAGAAGAGGCGACACATGTAATGTGATGTAATAATGTAATGTTTTATGAGACTGAACAGTCACATAGGGTATTGGACTCTCTTAAAACCCAGGTAGGTGCAGAATAGGTTGATATGGTAAAACAAATTGTCACAGGCTCCTCCAACAGAGCAACATGAATATATATATAGGAAGAAAAAAAATAAAACAAATGAAATAGTGCAAAATAATGTTTTGAGATGTGACTTTTTTACAGTTTTCCCCTCAAACATTTTTTATATTGTATTTTATAATGACAGGAAATGTGTCATTTATTTTTAACAAAAGAAAAAACTGTATAAATGGAATACATTATATATCTGTTTTTTTAGCAGCCTTTAAACTTATAATGATATTTTTGTATTATGGGTCTTAGATATATACGAATATATAAAAACATGTCTATGATGTGTTTTGCTCAAATACAAACAGATCATGCATTTTAGAAATCCCTCATATCCCTCTATTCTATTCTATTTTTTTCATAAAGATAAAGCAACAGAATCAAGCAAAACTAAGAGTTTAAGAGAAAACAAAACTGAGTCAAGCTAAATAAATGTAATTTCAAAAATGAAACTATAAGTTGCAAACAAATCATTTGTGTAATCATGTGAACTATAAGTCTTTTTTCTTTGTTTTAACATAGGTTTTTGTTTGCAGTTCTCTTTGCTCAATGATCAGACTTTTGCTCTCGCTGCAGCTCTTTTCAATTCTGACACAAACGTCCCAGGTGGGCGGGACTTTCAGGGGTGCGTCCCCATTGGCTACTCAGTTTTTGAGTTACAGTGCAGCTGCGGTGCGGTAGCTGAGCGTGGACACCCCAAGAAGAACCAGCATTTTAATTATTATAATACTACAAGTGAAAATATATGTAAGTATTGATCATTTGTGTTGTTTGTGCTGTACTATACGGTCTGTTTCTTTATTGTGTTAAGTGAGAAGTAAAGCTGTGCTATGAAAGTTAGCTTTTGCTACCTTTAGATCCATAACAATGCAAGCTAAGTAGCACGGAAGCGTGTGGCACAGTGGATAGAGCCTTGGTATTGGGATCAGGGGGTCAGGTTCAAACCCCAATGCAGTCAGCATGTCGTTGTGTCCCTGGGCAAGACACTTCACCTCAAATTGCTCCTGTGGGGATTGCCCGTATTGCCCGTATTGAGTATGTAAGTCGCTTTGGATAAAAGCGTCTAATAAGTAACATGTAATGTAATGTAACAGCAGGGACTGTTAGCTACATAGCTAGCAGTGAGTGAGCGTTCAGACACTGGCGCACACACTCAAACGGACTTGTGTTCCTGACTCTACCAACAGGCTTTCAATATTCTGTTTAGATATGCAAGTATAAGCAGGGGCGCACATAACTTTCTCAGATGAGTACCTGGAGTCAGTGTTTTGGTACAACTTCTGGCTCCACTCAAAGTTATTTGATGAAGCCCTCTGTATCGCGAACGTCAACGGGGGCGGTGGGGGGTTAACTTTGTAGGAAAACCTACCGTCCATGTCCTTGAGCTGTGTATTATTTGTTAACTTCATATTTTTCATTTCCTAAAACATTTATGTTCCTCTCATTGAGACAGCGTGGTGTCCAGAGGTCTTATCCCGTTTCCCCACTTCCTCTGAGGGGACAGCGCGGAGGGAAGGGGGCATGAAGAAAGACCTGCACCAGCTTCATCCACGCTGGGCGTTGTTGTTATCACTGGCTCAGTGTCATTTCATTTGAACAAATGTCTTTACATATACAATTAATAGATTTAATTATTATCCACCTTTTTGTTTTATATCCTTCTATTTAAAACATTCTTTGAGACTTCATCTTCTGGTTCAAATTTCAATAAATGTAATTTGTATAATCACTCTTGTCTTTATTCTACATGAACATGTTAGAGATTCCATTAAAATCTGTTGATTATTCAGATCTTCCTCAGGCTAGGAATAGTATGTAGAGTTTTTAATGCTAAATGTATATCATTTTCTCACAGGATATAGAATGAAACAACACAGTTTGTATCCATTGTGTATGAATGCTTCAGCTCTTCAGACCAACATAGTAAGATGTGAGCATGTTCCTAATTGTGTTGGTATGCAGCCTAGGTCTGGTCTGTTTAATAAAGCAAATCTGCCACTTTTATATTGTAGAATTTGTTAAATTAAAGCAGTCTTTAATTGTTTGACCTAAACATAGCAATATATGCTTTTGAAATGTAACATGTCTCTGAAAAAATAACAGTATACAGTTTATATTGTGTATTACCTTTAGCTTGCAAATTCATAGATGTGTTTTTTTTTATATCTATAAAATAAATAGACAGACACTTTATCAATTCAAAATTGGGAAATAATTTAACAGCAGCAGTGTGTTCAGGTATTAAAATATTTAAAGTTGGAATAAAGTATAAACTACACAACACAAGTTGAGTTGCACTGTATGATCTGTGTTGTAGTGGGCTGTCACTCAAAAACTGAGTAGCCAATGGGGACACACCCCTGAAAGTCCCGCCCACCTGGGACGTTTGTGTCAAAATCGAAAACAAAAAATGAAGGAGCGCAAACGAGAAGAGCTGCAGCGAGAGCAAAAGTCTGATCATTGAGAAAGAAGCAAAGAGAACTGCAAATAAAAACCTATGTTAAAACAAAGAAAAATACTTATAGTTTACATGATTACACAAATGATTTTTTTACGACTTCTAGTTTTATTTTTGAAATTAAATTAATTTAGCTTGACTCGGTTTTTTTCTCTCTCTTAAACTCTTAATTTTGCTTGATTCTGAGAAAGTGTTGCTTTATCTTTATGAAACAAAACTACTCCCATACATGTCCCAGTGAAGAGAACATACTAATACTAACCTGAAAATGAACAGAATATGTCATCCTTTTTGTTGTCCTCAGTCTCTGGTTGTAAATATCTCTCTGGATCTGAGTTCCTGGCTGGTTCTGGTCCTCCACAGTCCTCTCCATCAGCTTCTGTTTCCATGTGTTCAGCTGAGCTGCTGGCTGGAGGCTCTAATTCTCTGTTCTCGTCAGTCTGAGTTTGATGAAGCTGTAAGGACTGACGACCAACACACGCATGGGTTTTGACCTGACGACTCCAGGTGAATCTTGTGCCACAAACACTGCAGCTGTATGGTTTCTCTCTTGTGTGGATTCTAATGTGGCACTTTAAAGTTCCTCTCCCTGCAAAAGATTTCTTACAGACTGAACAGCTGAATGGTTTCTCTCCTGTGTGTATTAACATGTGCATATTTAAACTTCCTCTCCCTGCAAAAGATTTCTTACAGACTGAGCAGCTGAATGGTTTCTCTCCTGTGTGGATTCTCATGTGCCGATTTAAACTTCCTCTCCCTGCAAAAGATTTCTTACAGACTGAGCAGCTGAATGGTTTCTCTCCTGTGTGTATTAACATGTGCATATTTAAACTTCCTCTCCCTGCAAAATATTTCTTACAGACTGAGCAGCTGAATGGTTTCTCTCCTGTGTGGATTCTCATGTGCCGATTTAAACTTCCTCTCCCCGCAAAAGATTTCTTACAGACTGAGCAGCTGAATGGTTTCTCTCCTGTGTGTATTAACATGTGCATATTTAAACCTCCTCTCGCTGCAAAAGATTTCTTACAAATTGAGCAGCTGAATGAATTATCTCCTATGTGGCTTCCCATGTGCCGATTTAAACTTCCTCTCCCTGGAAACATTTTCTCACAGACTGAGCAGCTGAATGGTTTCTCTCTGTGTATTGCAATGTGCCGATTGAAACTTCCTCTCCCTGCAAACATTTTCTCACAGACTGAGCAGCTGAATGGCTTCTCTCCTGTGTGGATTTGAATGTGCTCCTTTAAATGTCTTCCTTGTTTAAAAGATGGAATGGAGCTCCACTCCTGCTGCTGAGGGGGAACCTCTTCTTTAACCACCACCAGCTGCTGGATGTCTGCAGGAAACAGGAAACACATATTCATCAGAATCAGAATCGGTTATATTTACCAAGTAGGTTTACACATACGAGGAATTTGCTTCAGTATATGTGGAGCATAAAAAGACAGAAAGAAGCATCTTAGCAAAACAAAAATAAAATAGGATTATGACAACTATTTAAAACAAAACTCTTTTAAAACTATTAAAACCAATTAACAATATTTAAATGTGACATACTATACACTTTGCTCAACATACAAACAGATCATGCATTTTAGACATCCCTCATATCCCTCTATTCCAGCTGTTAGAGAAACGCGGATTTTGGGTCCTTAGCTTGAAAAAACAAACAAAGAGGAGGCAGAGCTTATGCCTGGTCAGAATTCTACCGGAGATCAATTTAAATTCTGCTGTGATAAAATGCCATCCTGTTCTAAACAACTGTAGGGGCCAATTAACACTGGGTATAAAGGCATATTTTCATTTGTGTATCATCGCATCAACTTTTAATTAAATGCTGTTACACTTTTAAGAAAGCTTCCATGGGGGAGCCACGTGATCAGCTGGACAAGATGGCAGCATAGGTTAAACTCGCTCAACCCAGTGATGCTAATTCTGTAAATGTATACCGTTGAGACAACTCTTTTTTAATATATTTTAGCCTCTATGAGTGTCTGATCGAAGGCAATGTCTAAATCGCCGCCTAAACATGGTCCCGAGACGAGGGGGAAGTCTGACATGGAGGCGTTAGCCAACACAGTGCTTGAGAAGCAATGAGGCTATCTGGATTCGCGCTTCGACCAACTCCAACAGATGGGGAGGGAGACGGAGGAGAAATTGACTTCTATCCAAATGGACTTGGTGGTACAGAGTGAAAGCATCGGCACCATTAAGGCAGAGATGGGCAAGATACGGTTAGATGTGGTGAACAATTCGGTATGCTAGCCACCCACGTGGCTACGCTGGACATGGAGGACCGGAGCAGAAGATGCAACGTCCGTATAACTGGGCTAGCAGAATGACTTGAAGGGTCTAACGCCATATAATTTCTGACACACTCGCTTCCAAAGTGGTTCCCCTCCTTAAGTAATCTAAAGGGCGAGTTAATGCGAGCTCATCGTATCTACAGCGACGACAGGAAGAAGCAGGTAGGCGCTACGCGCACTCTGATTTTCAACGTTCTCCGTTATACCACCCGCCAAGACATACTCCGTGCCGCAAAGAAAGCCCCACTCACGATTGATGGACGGAGGATTTGCTTCTCCCCTGACTACTGCAGCTACACTGTTAAACGTGGTCAGGCTTTCTCCTGGGCAATGGGGTGGAATGTTTCCTCCTTTACCCCGCTACACTGAAAGTCAAGGGAGCTGGTCAAGTTAAGACATTTACATGCCGAAGACTTCATCGTCTCCCTACCAGGAGTGCAGGATGCACCAACCGGCAGGGACAGGGACCCGGGAGCTCGTCGAACTTGTTGGACTACATAGCGTCGCTGTTTTGGACTAAATGCACACTGCTTTGCATGGACTGGAATCTCTTACAGAGTTTTGGATTATTTCTGCAGGCTTCTTTTTATTTGTTTGTGTCTGACGCTGGACTCATCTGGGGACGGATAGTTGTTTATCATTGTTTGGCTGATCAAACTAACTTGCGAGACTACTGCTTGATTTTTGGATCCCACACCACGTAATAAATTTGCTCTCATTTCTTCTAATACCTAAGCTCACTGTTAACAACGGTTTAGTAAGCTTTAAGTACTGGGTTGAAGGGTATGTATAATCCTTTTGCAGCCCCATATCCAATCAGGTCACGGATCAATTTAGGAATATCCGTTTAATGTACTGTTTAGTTATTTTAAGTATCGTCTTTAATATTTATTTTTCTTTATCATCTTGTTTTTGTTACCGGGGAAATGTATGGGGGATTGTATTGTTTTTGTCTTTGTCCAGTTATGGGAAACGCTTACATGTTCTCGGATTGCTTATGTGGGGAGGGACTTCATTTTATTTTGGTCTCGTTTACAGGTTTAGTAAATATGGTTGTTTATCATCTGACATTCCACTCAGCTTATTGTTGACATCTTCCAGAACAGTGCAGCCCAATGGGTGACTTATCTATTCTTGTGTGGAAATGTGATGGGTTGAATGCACCTCACAAGCGAGCTAGTGTTTTGACTATGTTACATCGCTGTAACATTTTCTGGCTTTCCTACAAGAGACTTGTTGGCCGTATTGCTAATAAATTCTATCAAACTATTGCATCCTCTTCAGCTAACTCCAAAACCAAAGGAGTAGCCATTGTATCGTAATTTGAACGTTAAGGTGCTGGACATGTGGGCAGACACTGCAGGGAGGATAACGATTGCCAGGGTGGAAGTTTATGGGAGAAAGGTGGCTCTTATTTCTGCTTATGCCCCAAATACATTTCATAAGGATTTTTACGATACCTTAACTCAAAAAATGCTAGAATTAACCGAGTATGCTATCATGGTGGGTGCGGACATGAACGCAGTATGGAATTCAAATGAACGGTCAAGTTCAAACAGTCTCTAGAGAACAGAAGTCGGCTACTGCCGCGCTGCAGTCTTGGGCCGGGAGTTTGGGACTAGTGGACATGTGGCAAGCTTTTAACCCACAGGTTAAAGATTATTCATTTTTCTCAGCCAGACACAAATCTTTTTCTAGGATAGATTATCTTTTTACCTCTCCACAACTTTTCCAGAAAGTCGATAATGTAATGTTGCTTCCTATTGCCCTCTCAGACCACACTTTACTAGGAAATGGAAAATATAAAGAACAATTCCTGACACAATCGGAAGAATTTCTTGACTTAAATATAGGTTCAGTCGAGGACCCAACAATATTATGGGATGCAGTCAAAGGCTTTATAAGAAGCAACACCATATTGCTCTCTTCAAATGTATGTAAGGAAAGATCCGCCAGATTACAGGCTTTGGAAGCAGAATTTGCTAGTCTTGACTCCATTTTGTAGAATAATTACTCTAAACAAACAGCATCTAAACGTAAACTTGTCAAAAAGGAGATAAATGATATCTTGAAACAACGATCATAATTTCTAATACATAGGGTTAGGCAGCGCTATTACTTCCACGGGTCTCAGCCCAGTCACATCTTGGCTTCAAAAATCAGGGCTTGTGAGCACTTTGTAGATATTCCCTCCATTAAATCTTTGAATGGTAATGTCACAACTGAGCCAAAGCAAATAAATGAGACTTTTCAAACCTTTTATTCCAATTTATATAAGTCAGAGGTTCAGTTGGACAAGAATAGATGTGACGCCTTTCTCGGTCAGCTAGACTTACCACAGCTTGCAGTCACTGATTCCACCCATCTTGATGATCCCATTTCCTTAGAGGAATGAACAGATGCAGTATGCAACATGCAACGAAACAAATCACCAGGTTTAGATGACCTCCCGAATTTTATGTAGCATTTTGGAATAAACTGGGTCCACTACTTTTGGATATGATAATATATTCGATGGATAAAGGCAGTTTTTTGAGGGACGTGAACATAGCCCTAATTTCCTTGCTCTTAAAGTGGACCTATCATGCTATATTTGAATAATATATTGTAGGGTCATACCTATATAAAAACATGTATGTGACGTTTTTTTTTCAAAATACCAAACAGATCATGCATTTTAGCCATGCATTTCGCTCTAGTTTATGTTTCTGTAAAATGATGTGGAAAGCTAAAATAAAACGGCTGTTTATTTTTGAAAGAAAACCCTTTCTCCATGTATTGTTTTTTCACCTGCACCTCACATTGCAACACAACAGTTAATGAAAAGTACAATTAAGAGTAGAATTGCCCTTTGACTTCAAGCTGTATACGTGTAAAGACAATTAATGGCTGTATCATCCACATAATTCTTTATTATAAAAACTATTGTTTGTAGCCCTAAATGTTAGGGCACTTTTCCACTGCAGGACCTAGCACGGCTTAGTACGGTATGGTTAGGCCTTGTTAGGCCAGGCTCAGCCGATCGCCGGGGCAGGCCTAGACCTGACATGGACTCATCACTGAGGATCTGACTCATCACTGAGGACCTGACTCATCACTGAGGATCTGACTCATCACTGAGGACCTGACTCATCACTGAGGATCTGACTCATCACTGAGGATCTGACTCATCACTGAGGATCTGACTCATCACTGAGGACCTGACTCATCACTGAGGATCTGACATGGACTCATCACTGAGGATCTGATGTGGACTCATCACTGAAGACCTGACATGGACTCATCACTGAGGACCTGACTCATCCCTGAGGATCTGATGTTGACTTAGGGGTGGGCGATATGACGATATATATCGTCGAGACGATATTAGGTCTCCACAATATGCCTTTTCAGAGATATCATATCTATCGTGATAGTGCACCAGGGTAGGATTTTCACCTTTCACGACGTGAATAATTGTACGTCCTACGGCCACCTGCGTGCTAAAATCTCGAAGTTGCTTTAAAAGCGTCAGAACAGTGGTTTCTGAACTGCATTATGCTGCGTTCACAACGGACGCAATGCGAATATTCTCACCCTAGCCGCTGGAGTTTCACCGCGGCTGTCAGCTGTGTCTGTTTACTCCTCTCATTCAAACAGGACGCGCTGGAGAGGGACGGGGCTTATATCCATGTAAATACTATGGTGGAAACCAACTACGACAAAATTAACCTATTTTACCGTGATTTAATTGTAATACACGTTTCAAAATGATGCCGAAGTAACTAAATACTGATAACGGTTAGTAAAAACCAAGCTGACAGTATTGCACTTCATTTATTGTCTTGGTTGATTCTGTCGGCTTATATTTTATTTTATCAATAAGGTATTTATATTGTTTTTCCCTTTTGAAACAGATGTTCAGTTATGTTAAAGTCTAAAGTTTACATTTTAATTGTTTGGCACTGACTTTTCCTCATTGATGTTTTACTTAGTTATGTTTTACTCTCCTTTTCATGCTTATTGATGTTACATCACTGCTAGTGCTGCC